TTTTGTAAAAATCAATAAATAAAAATAAAATAAATAAAATTTACCTTTTGTTTTATTTTCACTTTATTTTATTTATACAAATTTTTTGATTTAAAAAGTGTCTGCATAATTTTGGTCATTAATTGTATAAAAACAATCCTACGAATATGTTGATTTAAGCAGATCTGCTCAATAATTTTATTAATATGATGAAAATATTTTCAGAATCTGATTTTCCTTAGGCTGAAATTAATTAATTCTATGAAAGCAAGAATTAAGATTACAAAAATTTTGCTAATGCTGGCCAAATTTATAACCGATTAATGAACTAACCAGTAAAAGATTTTTATGCTAGTTTGAATATGAATTAATAATACAGATGATTTAAAATATATAATTTCATAAAGTTTTTCATGAATCATTGTTATATATCGAATCTTATTGATCATTGCTAAGTATATAAATATGCAGCAATTTTTCAGTAAAGTTTTTTAATCACTTTACAAAATTTAAGATGTTACAATATTTTTCATCATAATATCATCAAGGTTTAGAATACTTGATAAATAAATTTAATGATAATAATAATGTAATCTTAGAAGGAGGAAAGCGTTACATGTTTAAAGAGCGTATACTAATTTCTAATAACTTTATCGTAAATGAGATAAAATTGGATGAAAAATAAAGGATCAAAAGTAAGAACTATTTGGAAGTTGAATTGAAAAAATACAATGATATTGTGGATGAGAAGTGGAAAACTTTTGATGATAAAAGGTTGTGTAGAGAATGGATTAGAGTTAAAAATGAAGAGGAAAAAGGTGATAGAAGTAATATCAGAAAATTAAAGTTAAAGGAAGAGTCGTGTTATTTTTATATAGAGGTGGTTTTTTTGTGAGATCCAGTAAAATATCTAGTGAGAAAACTTTATGATGGCTGAAAATGCTAAATGTCAAGTTTTTTGTAAATATTGCTTAATCACCATTATTCTACTATTTCAGATTGCAATATATATAAATAAATATATTTAACTTTTATTAAATTTTGTTATTAGCAATTGATAATTGTCTTACCCCAAAATATCAATTTCCTGCGCTATTTTGCAATGCTTTAGCAGCAATTTTTATCTTACTAACCCTGGTCCAGAAGTTGGATTTGAACTAATCAATCCAAAACGTATTGTGTTTATTAGAACCAGTACAGGTGGTAAATTGGCTATTGGTATTGTGTTATTTCTTTATGATACTGGTTTACCATTACTATCTGGAATTGTTTATTTGTAAATATCAAAATTCTGATTTATTTATTTATTTACAATTTTGCTTATTAACAATTTAATCTTCATTTAATGATGAATTTTCAAAGTCTTCATGGGTAGATCTGACAATTAGCATATCATTAATATAGGAACATAGAATGGATAAATCAGATATAAATATTAGCAGAATATATGTGCCTGCTCTTGATCCACTAGGCCCCTTATCAATAGAATTTCTAAAGTACATAATAATTCTATTGGAAAAGATTAAGAAAATGAAGCAAAGGTGGTTAAATATCGTTCTTTTACCAATATTCCAAGATTTAAGCTTTAATGCGTAAATAAGGCCTTGGTTATCCCTTATATCAGTACAATGTTAGCTTAAAGTTTAGGAAATTTACAACATATTTTATGTATGGGTTATTAAATCATAAGCATCTATATGAGACATAAAGTATCACCGCTAACGAACTAACATTTTTATAATATAGCAAACAGGTGGCGGAGAAAGATTTCGGGATTCAATAGTTCTATTTAGTTATAAAGCTTCCGATCCAAGTAAGTACCAAGTACCCAAATACGCTATGGAGAATTTTTACGAATCTTCATTAAAGAAACCCACAAAAGTCACTCTCGAAGTCTATGATGAAGCTTGCCACTGCTTTTTTGTAAGTTGTTCATTATCTCTATATGATTTGCTTGTACATTTTTCCTAATTAGATTATATATTTATAATTCTATAAATAAATAAATTTAGGTTTTTCCATCTGAAAAAATTACCAAATTTGCGCTAAATAGTGCTTATAATTTCATTAAGTTTCATGCAGCTGCCGATGAAAGTATTAATAACGAGTCAGAAAATATCGCTACTTATGAAAACGGGAAAACCCTTAATGCAGTTGCAATTAACCCTAACTGCGAAGTTAGGGAGTTGGATGCGAAATATATGGAATGCTTAAAGTTTGAAAATATTGGAGTTGTGCCGGACGTGAATGAACTTGATTATGTTGATAACGTTTAGCTTTTTATTATATTCGATTTTGTTCCGACATTTGAATTTGTGTAACATGATCAATAAAATTGTTTTGTACGACGCTTCTTTTTCTTTAAAAAGCCATACCTGATAAAATACTTTTAAAAACTCATTATTTTATAACAAACCTTACTGAATTGATAACTTGTGAAGGGTATGTTAGGTCCGAAACGAAATCTCAAACCGAATATTACATCAATAATTATTAATATCATTAATATCCTACCTAAAACTAATCTAAATGACCCTAATTTACGACAAATAAGAATTAGTCTTGATATTGATATTTTTTCGAATAACGTGATTAACAGCTTTCGGATTTGAGCTTGTGTTTATTCATATCCCTTTTGAACGATAAAAAATAACTACCTTTGAGATTTCCCAGGCTTAAAAGGATTGCCAATCTTAATATGAATACATTTAATAATCTGCCTGAGAATTTATGAAACCGTAATGAATTTTGAATTAAGGAAATCAACGAATATACATTAAAAGTTTGGACGATAGAAAATGGAGGCTTAATATGTTCCAAATTGTTTTATTTTTTAATTGTTCTTCTTTTAGAAGTTATTTAAGCGGTTTCTTTCAGGTTGAATTACATAGGTATAATTGTTTATTTTTGTGTTCGTTCGCATTGGGGAGCAGTTATCGAATTTTTTTTATCCGAACTTTACTCTTTAGTATTATATAAATGGACATCTTTTATATAAACTATTGTAGTATTAAATGCTTGCAAATCATTCAATAAATAATTTGAATGATGATACACAAAGGCATATTATATAACCATTATCAGTAGTTTATATCGATGATGACAATTACATTGTTTAAATGAATTTCGGGTTTTTAACATTTAAATCAATATTTCGTCAAAAATTTCTTTGTGGCAACCTTGACAAATCATTATATAAATAATAATAAGATGTATCGTAAGGAGAAAGAAGGAGAAGAATAAAAAATAAAATAGACTATATATTAATACTGTAAAATATACTCAAAATCCAACTATCATAAAATAGACTATTTATTACGTAACGATTTTCGTGACCACTTTTCTGGTGATGCTTGAGAAAAATATAAAAAATTGCACAATATCACATAATAAAACTATATAAGTCAAATACTATAAAACAATCATTAGAAATTTTTAAGATATATCGGTTCCCAATATGGATTAATAATTTCAATTTAGAATCTCATTGATAAAATAAAAAATGCATATCATTACTACAATCATCTATTATTTTTTTTCAAGTATTTAAATATGATAGCAGAAAAACCGTGAACACTCTTCAAAATTCAAGATGTCCCAAATTTTTTCGCCACAATATTATGAAGGTTTAGAATTCATTCATAATAACTTTAATGGTGTAAAATCCTTAGAAGAAGCAAAGAACAACATTTTTAATGAGGTCATAACAATTCCTGATAACATTATCGTGAATGAGGTGAAATTGGATGAAAGATATAGGATCAAAAGTAAGGAATATTTGGAGGTCGGATTGAAAAAGTACGAGGACGTTGTGGATGAGAAATGGAAAGAATTTGATGATGGAGGGTTATGCGGAGAGTGGATTAAAGTTAAGGATGAAGAGGAAGAGGACGGAAAAATTAAAGTTAAAGGAAGGGTCGCGCTTTTCTTTTTTGGAGGCGGGTACTTTACGGGATCCAGTAAAGTATCTCGTAACCATACTTTATTGATAGCTGAAAAGGCCGAATGTCAAGTTTTTGGTAAGTATTACTTAATCACTTTTTATTTCTTTGATCGCAATTAATGAATTTGGAGAAAAAAAATATTTGCAACTAACTTTTCTAATTTGGTAATTAGCAATTGATTATAGTCTTTTACCAGAACATCAATTTCCTGCGGCACTTTGCGACGCTTTAGCAGCTTATTTTTATCTTACTAATCCTGGCCCAGAAGCTGGATTTGAACCAATTGATCCAAAACGTATTGTGCTTATTGGAGTTAGTGCAGGTGGTGGATTGGCTACTGCTACCGCGATGTTTCTTCGTGATGCTGGTTTGCCATTGCCATCTGGAATTGTTTTATATGTAAATATTAAAATTCTGGTTTATTTATTTATTTTACATTTTTGCACAATAACAACTTACTCTTCATTTTCATATGAATTTGCAAAAGTTAGTGGATCATCCAATACAGCAAGAATTTGTTATAAATAAAATGATGAATAAAAAAGTATTTTAT